TTTGAACAACTTGGTTTAAACTATTGTAGAATGCAGCAAGCGTTTTACTGCAAGGAAATGCCCATCCTTTATAAATGTTCTGCATAAGGTTTTAGTTCTTGAATTGCCACTGTTGTCCGTTGACATTGTCAGGTGGGAGTTTTGTTTCCAGATCATTCTGCGGAAGTCTGATTTTTTCTGACTGCATACTTCAGCTATATTTACATTGGTACTTTGAGTTTTGCAGTTAGTCATATGGCTTTTGCCTGAAGGGAAATTGGCCCTATATGTGTTTGATGCTAAAGCCAAATCTCCAAAAAATACATTGCAGAACAAACAGACACTCTAACAAAATATGACTTCTGCACTGATCCCTTAGCTGTCTTGTGTGGTTTAGTACTGCATTTTATGTATATATTTGTTACTATTATACACTTTGGATAAAATGTCTAAATATGTAGCCTACAGTATGTATTACATCTTGTACTTTTCTTAGTCTACAACAAGTTACTTACTGGTGATTAGAAGTTTTGAATATGAGCTTCTGTGGGCTAGCCACAAACTTGCAGTTACTTGTACGTTGGGCTGTGACATGAAGGTCTGACAAAAGCATGAATGTGAGAACATAAGTTTGTGCAAAATGAGGTGCAGTTAGTGCACAAAGAGAACATTTTTCATAGCGTTGCATAGTCGGGTAGCAAGCAGTGAATAAATACTATAATCTCCATATTGTATTATAACCTCACCTATTTGTTTGTGGTTGGTACCCTTCTCTGCATCTGTCTTTGCTTAATATCATGCTGGTGTAGATTCAACTGTAGATTATTGAACACAAAATTGCGCCAATGTGCATTTCGTAAGTTTCTGTTGGAACGTCTCTTGTGTCCTGGAGCGATAGGTTGCGATTTGTCAGTTATTCAATGCCAAGTCGACATACTGTAAGCTCTGATGCCCTTATCCTGGAGTTGCCATCTTATTGCACAGGAACTGGCCTAAGTGCAGTGACGTTCGGGTGTCTCGGGATGCAGGGATGTAGGACAGTGTAGATCCGAGAGATACCTCAGTCGGATATACTGATTGTGTCCAGGCATGGTGAAGAGTAGCTGCTTCAGCTGCCGTCACTCTTCAGCTGAACCTGTCTGAATGCATCATGACTGCAGATGTGATGGTGTCTGTTTCCTTTTCCCTTGCAGTACATATTGCTTGGTGTTCTGTACCCCCTGCCACAGAGGCGATAATGTGGCACAGCGGGAAAAATATTCCACCACATACAGGATTACAAATAAGCAGTTGACTGTGTGAAGTTGATTTTTCACATTTACTGACTTGTTTGGAAATCAAGTGAATCTGACCCTTCTGGGGAAGTATTGGAGCCACAAAATCATTTGTTGTGTCTCTTGACATTTGTGTTTTCATTAACGAAGGCACACAACAAAAGAGAAGAATGCTGCATTTGTAACTGGCTGTCCTGGAGAACATTATTTCTTTTTTAGTGCAAGCACTGAATTAAATCACATAGCGTAGCTGTAAATTCCTCAGAGCACAGATGATTCATTTGACATACTACAGGTGAATAATACAAAGGGCAGGAGCTTCATATTAGCAAATGGTCATATGATCAGTTGACAGGGGAGTGTTTGATATATCTGTGTCTGAATAGTGCTGCTAGTTGGAGGGACATATTTTTATGGCTTATCATTGGAAACTTGAGCTGAGGCAAATATTTTTTCTCTCATGTACAAAAAAGATTCCTCTTGAGATTACTGAAGAGGAAGGAAAGACATTGGTCAAACATATTCAACCAAGAGTTGAAAACCATTTGAATTTATGTGCAACAAGATAAGTTAATTGTTTCAGTGCACCAGGATAGGACTTGCTGTCTTGTTTCTGTCTCGCATGCGGAGCACAATGTGGGACATTAACAACGTCACTGTTAATGTCGACATCACTGTGATATTAATGTTAGGTTTGACACAGAAATTGGTAGTAAAAGTGTAAAAAAAACATTACAGCAGGGTTGCATTCTGTAATCGTGTTGTGTATGTCAAATTTGTGCCTGCCAGGTGCTGCCATTTCTAACATATAAAAACCTTTTAAAATCTTCTGCAGCTTGGGCACGTTTTAGGGTTTCTCCTGGTAGATACATCTGTGCACCTGCTGCGTGCTGATCAAAAAATGTAATCTGCTTTTTTGAATATTTGGGTGCCTAGGTACAAATTATTTGATTATATCAAATTATTACATTGTAAGGACAGCTAAATCCTTGTTAGTTACATCTGTGTCCAGAGTAAATTAATGTAGTGTTTTCCCTCATAGCAAACAATAACCAGCCAAACTAACTGATGATGAAATGTCAGACTGTGTAACAGAAAAAAACATAGATAAGTTCTATTCTGCATTCCCTCCCAGATGCAGCTATACTTGTAACTCCTGCAGAGTATCCTTTGTTTTAATGGCGTAAAAAAAGAAAGCAAAGCTGTAAATGTAAATTGGAAAGTATGATATGAAATGAATATTTGAGAAGAAAAATATTATAGATATAGTATCAGAAAGTTAAAAATGTTTAGAACCTTAATGACTCTCTACAGGAGAAGACAGTTTTTTACTAGTATGGTAATGCCAGAGGCAAAATATAAGGTGCTTGACAGGTTACAGCTATCAGGCTAATTTAATGCAGAACTAGTCAGATGTAATACAGGTTGGTATAGGAAGCTTTGTAATTTTCCGGGAGAAAAATATACACAGGTTTGAGTATAGATGGTCAGTATATAAATTTAGCTGTAATTCAATAGACTACAATTCAATCACACTAGCCTTATCAGCAACAGATTTTCAGAATATTAAAAGTAATGCAAGGTCATTCAATTTTCAATCAGTGCCATACAGTATGACAGTTAAAGTGTATGTTCCTTTGGTTTTCTCACAAGATTTTCTTCATTTCAGGAATCTCTAAGAGGAGACAAATAACATGTCGCTCTGAACAAGAGTTTAATTAAACTTTTAAAAGACTGATTCACCTTGGGTAATTTGTTGAAAGTTGTCTTTGAACTGTAATTTGACCTCTGTAACATGTTACCTCCTGACCTGAAGGAAAATATTTCTCCCTGAAACAATTGAAATTAAGGAAAATTCCTCACATTTGTGTTAATGAAATAGCCCCTGTCACTGAAGTTGCAAGTTATATTAATGAACTCTTCTCTTAGACCTCAATTCGTGTATCTGGTATAGAATCATAATATGGAAAACAACTTTACAACCAATTTTAGCTATTTTCTCTTGCCTGCAATTTGTTTCACCGTGTACATTTCTAATCCTTTCTCAAATGTTATCACTTGATTGCTTAACTAAGTTTTGCAGACATATTAAATCTGTGCCATGTTTTATTGTCTGGGTCATGTTCAGTTACATTATGAGGTATGACTTAATAATTACATCAATGTTAGAAATTGAAGTAGGTTTCAGTTTTCTAAAGCTTTCTGATTAAGCGTGCATTTTATCTAATCAGTAGTTAGTGTCTCTTTGTAGCTGATGTTTCTATTTTAATTTATCATTAAATTTTTAAGACATCTAATTTTGAAGTCTTGTAATTTGTACAGTTGTTGGCTGGACATGGATACTGAAACAGTATTGTTCAACACTAGTAAATGTAAATGACATATCTCTGATTCTGTTCAGGAAAGCACCAAGATTCCCTGAATATTTAGGAGTTTTTCCACAAATGAAAATGTCACACATTTTCTGTCTTATTTCTCTTCCTATTTTAGTTTTGTTAGTCTGAATCAAAAGCTAATTTAGAATGTATAACCCTTTTAATACAAGAAGCTAAAAAAATAGCTAATATTAAGGTTTAAATGTTTGATTTTGAGCTGTATCTGAAAAGACTGTTGGAGTTTGAAATGAAAGTTAAATATTAATAAACAATTACGGATTAAAAGCTAAGCACTTGCAGAATTGTTGTTTTGCATGATGTGCATTGGATACTACATATCATAGATCTATGGCTCTTAGCCTGCACCACAGTTGTTTTGTTGTTTGGAACCTTCTCCCCCACAGGGAAAAACAGTGATAACATAACTCTGGATTTTAGCTGAAAGGTTCAAAGGTCTCTTAGCATTAGTATCTGTGTGGAAGGAAAGCTGTACAATACAAACATGACATGCATTGTGATCATTTGAAAAATATGATACATTCTCTAAGTGAAGAGGGTTTTATTTTTGGTTTTAGTGGAAATAAAGGATCTTAAAATGTCTGCAGTCATTTTTTCATTGTTATAACTGCATGAGGAACTATGTTCAGTCTAATTTTGGTTATATACTGTGTCAGCAAGACTTCAGAGCTGCAGCACGATGCATTTTGCAGAGGAAGGATGTAAGGAGGAGAAATGAACATGGCTTTTTTAAATCAATGATATCCTTTAAAACAGGAAAAATCCTATTTCACAATTATTATTATTTAAGGCCTCTAAAGTTAAAATATGTTTATGAACTTAAGTATGCATTCAGCACTATAAATTCTGTAATCCAGTGTTATAAGCTGGAGATCTAGAACCATATGGCATACAATTAAAAAAGTATTCATTTGTGGGTTTACTACAAAATTAGTGCTTTATCAGTGCTACAGAGTTGCTTTAGAAGGCTACTAGTCATTTTGGTTCCCGGTCATAACAGAACATACAGCCAGCTTTCTATGCACTGCATTTTTTAACAAATACTGATGCAAAAACACCTGGTAAAAGAATTTGAACTCTCCAACTAATAATTAGAGCCATTATTTTATTTAATTTCTACCTCAGTCATTTCAGTGTGTACTACAATCACTGTGTGTGTTCCTTATGAATCTGTCCTCGTGAATGTGCTTTCAATTAATACAGCCTGGGCAGGGGTGACTGGGATGGAAGAGAGAGCGATGAGCGATTCCCTGCATCAGCATCCCTAGCATCAGTGAGGCATCCTGGGAATTGTTTTTGCTTAGCCCATCTGCTCACGTGACTCTTGATCTTCAATACAGCTTATTAGCCGGCCATTTTGGTCTACACCCAGTGCACTGCGCACAGCCAATCCTGTTAGTATGAACCAGGCTGACCAGGAGAGAGGAAGGTTGTGATTTCAGGAGCACTAGGCGTTTTAGCTTCTGTAATTTCTGGGGCCAAGTGCTTCATAGTAGCAGCTGCTCGGTGAACAGCAGGGCAAGCCTTTGTTATTGTCACAGCAGTGTTCCTTTTACTCATCTGTCGAGGGGGGGGGGAGCAAAGTGGGGGTTTGATATAGAGGGAGAAAAGAGAATCTTTGTGCTCCTGCTGCATTGCTGAGGTTGGTTTCAGCCTGTTTTGTTTTGTTTGTGTAAAGACTGCTGCCACAGCTACAGCGTTCATTTTTTTTTTGGTGTGTATTGGCACTGAGCTCATCGGGGAGAGTTGAGTTTTCTGTGTTGTGGTACCAGCTGAGTCATCATGTCTGATCTGACGCCTCAGAGTGATGCCCCAACCCCCACCACTGACAAGATCACACAGGCTGCCAGGGAGACCATTTACCTTTGCAACTTTCGGGTCTCTGTGGATGGAGAATGGCTTTGCCTGCGAGAACTGAACGACATTTCTCTCACTCCCGACCCCGAGCCAGCCCACGAAGGTATGTAGTGAAAAATGTCAGTGTGTTGCTGATGACAACGAAAAGGAGCTAAAAGATAGCTGAACTTCATACTGTAGTCGTGTACTATTATTTCTGACGCGTACCTCTTGGTGGTTTTACATAATGTCTTGTTTTAATGGCTTAAATGCAGGAAAAGAACTCCATTATCAAGAGAGAGAGTTTATCACTGGAAACTTGGAAGACAAAGATATTGCAAAGGTGTTACATTTTACATGTGGGCATCCCATGAAAAGCCCATTTTTGCAAACATGTTTGATCCACATGAAAAGACAGCAGATTACATGCCTGTTTATTTTTGTCAAGTGTGTTGACAAGTGTGTAACACAAAAATAATAGGAATGACTTTCCTGGATGCCAGTTTTGCTCTGCTTCCTTCATGCAGAGGTAGCAACAATTTTGTGGATAACGCATAGTGTACAAGTATACAAATTTAGCATTTTGGTTTCAGTCAGTGTTGCCTGAAGGCTTCTGAATGGTTTATGATTACATTCAGAGTTTGCATAATTGGAAGAAATTGTCTTAGCTTGCGGCATAATTACTTTTCTTGTTTACTCATCTTAATAAGCCTGGTGTAGTCTCCAGGGCATTTGTAAATGCAGAATCCAGATTTGATATTTACCATTGTGACATGAGTTTCAGATACATTTCAGTCTTCACTGTGTTGTAGTTTAGTAAGCATTCAAAGGAATGGGTTGTAGAATAAAAAATGTAAAAAATAAAAAAAAAATCATCTTAGAGAAATATGTTTAGATCTGTTCTAAACGGATCTCTGTTCTAGATCTTTTGCTGTATGTTTAAACGCTTATCTTTTACATAGTTATTGCATTTAAAAACAAGTCCTTTAATCCTTTTTTCTTGATGTGATAAACATTTTTAAACACTCGCTGTCTCACACCATCTTTTGTTTTGTGTACAGCACTATAGTAATTTAGGAATGCCAGGCCTTTTCTTAGCCTTCATCATTCTTGTTGCTCATAAATTGGGATACAGTTAATAAATTTAGGTCTGTAGAAAAGAAAAGGATGGATTGTACACAATTGAAGCAAAGGTTAAGTTGTAGAATTCATAATGCTTAGTGCATTACTGTACTTTCACACTTTGTAGTAGAGTACATTTTTGGGATATTGTTTAAATTACATACAGCATTTGGGTACCATTTCTCAATTTGTCGTACAGTTTTGTGTTTAGAAGCTTAAACCATATGTGAGTCCGTCCATGCTATTTGTATAATGACTGAATTTGTATTAGAGAGTTTTGATGAATCCTTTTTATCCTTTTCAATTCTTAAACTGAAGACCTCAAAGTGCTACTAAGCAACTACTAACTAGTGTAGAGATTCACTGAATCATGTGCTGCTACAGTAGTTATGTTATCCAATTCATTTGTGTCTTTTGGTTGTTAAACATGAATACATTTTAAAGCATATTATGCAGGCTCTAAATGATCATTTTAATATGATTGTTGAAACTTTCAAATGCAAAATGAAGAGTCTTAATCTCTAGCTTGTTATAATTACATTTGATTTCCTGGCCTAAGTAAGCTACATCATCAGAATATAATTGCTTTTAAATGGACGAATGCAGCATCTGCTAGGTCTGTGTTCCAAGAGGTGGTGGTGGGAGGTGGCACCTTCTGTCTGGTTCTCTGCCTTTAATTTAGCCCCCGACGTCCAAAGATGCTGTACTGGTGAGAGGCTCATGAAATGTGTAAAACCCAAGGGTACAGCCTCGATTGCGGGACCAAAGGTTACTAAGTATTGAAAAATGATATATGGTTGGGGAAGAACTACATTTGTTAAAGTCTAATGTGATTACAGTGTGATTTTTTTTTCACTCTCTCTCTCTTAAAAAATGTATTTACTCAACGTCTGAAAAAAAACTTCTTTATTTACATATTTCAATCTAAAGGTTATATTATGCTTACAAGAACCATGATTCATACAGAAACTCAGATATTTATTGGGTGTCTGGTTTTTCTAAGTGTTTGGTGATTTGTATGACAAGCTAGATATTTACACAGTCAATACCTGTGGCCAAGAAAACTCTAGGGCAATCAATTTCTTCTCTTTTAAAAATCCAAAGACTTGGACCTGGAAAAGCATGCTAATATAAGAAAAGATATAAAGAAACTAGGCTTTCTTTACCTACTGTACTTATGCTACCCTATAAAATCACAACATGTAATTGTGAAAGTGCTGTTAGGGTAAATAAGAGATCTGAAATTAATAATTTCAAATGACTGTGGCTGCATAAAGAATATGACGAAAGCCTGCATACAGGATGTCAAAAGCTACATTTGTAATGAAAATTATTTAATATGGTACTCTTTTCCTTTTTGTTGTCTGAGGAAACATTTTTTTTTCTTAAGTATAAGGCTAGTCTGATGCTTGCTAAGTGTAGGCTGTGAAGACAGAACTATAATTTTCTCATCTCCGTATTCCTCCTGCACATCACTTGTATAGCAGTTGCTCATTAGTTACTCATCGGTTTCTTTAAAATGAGATAAGCCAATACCAATAACATAGCTTTGAAGATTATCATCAAAGGAACCAATGACATTAAGAACTGATTCATTAAGACCTATTTTTAATCTTCTAATCAATGTTGCATCCAATGCATATCACATATCTTATTACCATACCACAATAATGCTCAGGAAATGTTTAATACAATAGAGTGGATTTAAATCTGGGGCAGTCTCTGTGTTTTTATAGCTTTATCAGGTAGTTTTGTAGAGTCAGAAATCTGACAGAAGGAAAAAATATTTTTAGTAATGCCATTGAAACAAGCAGTGTCATAAGGCAGTGTATGATGAATCACTGAGTCAGACAGCAATTGTTCATGCTTCCTTTAGGGTTTTTAAAGCTTTATTTCAATCCTAGTCCAGACTAGCATGTCGTTAGGGAACTCAGCATATCACATGGTCACTGAGTCCATTGGAGCTTTCAAACCTATTCAAAGCAAACTTTGAGCAAGGCTTATCAAAGCCCTTCAGAAGTAACAGAGTATTGGTAACAGGCTTGAATTAAACTTATGCAACAGCATGACTGTTTTATTCAAGTATTTCTTAAAGGTCTTCTGCATCTTTATGGACTGAAGAGCTAATAATGTGGTCTAAGCATAAAAATATCTTTTTCAAAATCCACCATGAAGCCAGCAGTGTGTGGATTAGACTAGGACATTGTTATACCCAAGATATTATGAGGAAAATGCATAGTTGATAAATATTTTAATTAAAAGAAACATTGTTAACTTGATGATGTTCCATACAACACATGGAGGCTGTCATATCAGTTTGGGTTTAAGGTGTACAATTAATTTCTACAGTGTTCTATCTACCCAGTAGTAAAACTGAAAATTACACAGTATCATTCCTCCCTTTTTTTGGTCTTTGCAAACAAATCCTTCGAGTTTAATTATTCCAAATGAAGGGTAAAAGTGATTGAGCTTTTTGAAGAAAGTCTTTGCAATATATATTGGAATGGACTGAAAAAGACATAAAAATCTAGTGAGCACAGTCTTTTAACTGAATTCTACAGTTTTCCAGTACATGAAATGAAATATCCATCCGTCATTTAAATAAAAAAAACAGATGTGGTCTTAGATGGAGTGAATAATCTTAGATGAATAACCGGAAGTGTCCACATACAACTTAATATAATTAATATATATATAAATAATATATAATTATAAAGAGGTGTAGCAAAGAGACATCCTTATATCATTGCATGTTTTGGATAGTATTGCTTTTATTTCCTTGATTCTCTGTTTTTTGCATTGTTTATTCATTGTTAAATCAACTTTTTAGCCATTTTTCCAATGAGTAATTCTGTGAATTACTTTGTTTTGTAAACTGAAGTTTATCAAGTGTACCTTCATGGTTAGCATTCCCTCTATAAGTGTTATTAAGAATCTGGTTACACTAAACACTAAGTGTAAACACCAAGAATCCATAGATAAAGGATGCATTGAACTTTGTTATCTGTATGTGCATTATTTTGATAGACAATTCCTTAAAGGAGCAGAACACGGTGGCATACTGTATGAAATTACTGATTCACTCATTTCAGTCATGAGGACAGTTGGGAGACATTATAGAAGAATACCTTTCTGTGTGGCGCAGTGGTTGGTATTGTTGCCTTGCCCCCACTGGGGTCCTGGGTTAAATTCCGGACCTGGGGTGCTATCTGCATAGAGTTTGTATGTTCTCCCTATGTTGTTGTGGGTCTCCTCCCACAGTCCATAAAAGCCATACCGGTAAGTTAGCTGGCTTCTAGGGAAATTGCCCCTGATGTGAGTGAGTGCATGTCTGTGTGTGGCCTGTGATGGACTAGCCTGGACACACCCTGCCTTGCATCTTTGGCTAGTCAGGCTAGGCTCTGGCTTCCCCGCAACACTGAACTGGAAGAAACGGTTAGAAAATGGATGAATGGAAAGTGTTTATGTATTCTTCTTTAGTATTTCCAATATAGGTTTTCATTTACAATATAATGAGATTTCACACAGAAGTTTGGACCACTGCAATGGTTTTTGTTTTTAAATTGAGAATTCGAAGTTGTCTTAGATGGGTATGATGAATTCAGTAAGTGCTGTACATGGCTTTCCAGATGTAAAAATGTACACCTTTTGAGAACATCTGCAGTAATAATTTGTTGTTGACATGAAATTGAATCATTGTGCCTAAAATTCCCAAAAAACAAAAAAATACAGTATTTTCTTATGTTATTGAATGTGTATCACATTAAACAAAAATGATAGCAGACAAGGAACCACGTCAACTTTGGTAAAATGCACAATATTTTGTAGAAGCTTAGTGTTGTTTAGCTTCACAAAATGAATGGAATCATGGATCATAAGCCCGAAAGCATTTTAGTCTGATTGTTTTCAGTCTTTGAAGAATTTTGGTTACCAAGAAAATCACGACTTCTTCCAAGGTTTGTTTTTTATGTAAGAACAGTTTTCAGTAATTATTTCTGAAGGATTTTATGAGTGAGCCAAGCTCAGTTTATGGCAAATGTTTGTGTGAGAATAGTTGTCAAGTACGGGAGCTCAATAAAATAATCTAATAGGAAAAATTACACATCTCATGGGTGGTGGTGAATAATTGAATTAAACAATCCAAATTGTCCTACATACTGCACAGTGTACTCTTTTTCAGTTTATATTTATAGACATGTTATATAATCAGTGTCGCAACTTACAGTACATAGTCGGGCAAGATTTGTACTTAAACTTGTATTAGCCTAATTTATTACAGAGGAAAGATAAAATTATGAACTTAATGATTTACATTTTTTCCCTGATTTTGATCTCGCCTATTACATTGCTATATTAAGGCAATAAAAAAAAACTTCCAAACATCATGGCTAATAGAATTTAACACATCACATTAGAGAATATTGAAATTCTGAATGTGTTAATAAAGCCATGTCCATCCATTATATACTGTATGAGAGAAATACACTTTTTGAAGATTACGTTGTTATATTGCCTCTATTGCACAGACATTACCACCTTCCCATTGGTTGCAATCGTAGTGTTACTTTTATTTCAGACCATGGTGTGCATGACATTCTACCCTTTTTTTTCTTTTCTGTTTCTTGCCATTGCCCTTTGCAAAGACTCATGGGAGGATTTCACAGATTTGCTGGAGCAAATGCAAATGCTTGATGAGTTTGAAGGTGCGTATCACAGCATCACCATCCAGCTCCTCCCATTCCAGCTTGCGCGCAGAGCTGCCATTTAGGGTGTAGATGGCTGATTGAGTTGCTATTCTGACTTGTCTTCCTCATGCTTATGAGCCAGGACCTGATGAACCTGCATGATTCCTTTGCATTTCATAGTATATCTTGTTCCATTTCCTCATGAAGCAAATCCCCCTTGCTCACACATAGTATACCATACCAAATTCTTTTATAATTGAACTATTTGTCATCAAGTTGACTTTTGATTAACTACATTGCATGAAACACCTGCAGTGAGCTTGGTCATTATTGGTTATTGTCTTAGGTTCTTGCCTCGTCTGGTGTAGTTAAATCATAGAGTAGTCTTTACATTTTAACATGTGAGTTTTCTCTGGGCTTATCTTATACATGTTTGCCTTTATAATTTGTTGGTTAAAATTGCACATCAGTGGTACTCTATATATTTATCTTCTATTTGTAACTCCTGTTACATGTATTGTGTTGTCTGTTGTCTTTTTAGGAATTCGGATTTTGTGAGGATATGGATTTTTAAATAAAAAAACAGAACTTCCATTTGAAGTCGATAAATCTGGTATTTCCAATGTTTGAAGTCTAAAGTCCCTGTGTTATGAGTTTATCGTCAAAACTTAATAATATATTTTTGTTTTCAATATATTATTCAGATGACTTATTACTCTGGATTTTTTTAATATGAAATACATTTGTGCATTTAGAGTATTGTTTTCAGTAGCCTTAAAATTAGCCATTCTTACATTTTTATTTAATTTTGACCCTGGATTCTAAATTCTAAAGGACTAATAAAGTCCCTTTTTAAGCATCCAAATGTTAGCCCTTATCCAAAAATGCATTCAAATAAGCAAGAGTGACAAAATTTGCTTGGATAGGTTAAATGTGCATTATTTCCACAAATTGGAAAATTACAGCTTCTTCCCCTACATTTATTCCAAGTCACTTTATGCCAAATATGAGATAGGATTCAGTGTGTCGAAGAAAAATAAAGTATTGAAGCTCCTCACTCCAGTCTCTCTTCCTCCTGCTCTTTCTTCTAACCCCTCCAATTCTTAGGGTTTCCACTTTTTAAGGACACAGCTGGTTGCAGGACCTAGCTGATTATCAGTGGAAAATTCCAATTCCAAAGGTTGTTGAGCCATCTGGTCTCCTGCTGATTGATTAGGTTAAAACTAAGCTGTCAGTGGATCTTATCACCTTCTAGCTAGCAACGCAGATAATGCTGGGTGCCAGAGTAGATGTGGGACAAAAAGACACCCATGAGGAGGTACAAATGGTAGTTGCTTCCAAAATATGTTCAATACATTGTAGCACTCCTAAAATTAAAATAGTTATCAGTTATCCTAAAATTGAATGCAGTTATTAGAAAGGACCTCCTCAGACCTCCTCAGAAAAAGATTCCTTGTTAGCTCTAATTTTGTCTTGTCTTAAACCGATTTTTCGTCATGAAGTTTGGTTTGGTGGCAGGTAATCGAAAATCTGCCTTACCAGACAACTACGTAGCCTTTTCTGTTTTGTCAGCCATTACAGCGACTTAAAATGGGGTTATTGTGTGTTCAAAACACTAGTACGCAAAAGAAAGACATACTGTCCAGCAGTCACCTAACTCTAGGTGGCTTAGATTTTGAAGATGGATTAACTGATTATTACAGGAGCTGAAGTTTCCTTTTTTAATAAAATAAATTAGCAATTATTGTGCTCTGTACCCAAACAATTTGGAATCCAAAATTTCTCTCAGGTGTCAACTCATGACTACGAAAACCCCAAACTGGTTGAGCCACTCAGGAGGTCCCATTACAAGACATTTTAACATTAAATCAATTTAATTTTGTTACACATCTCTTTATGATATCAGTTTTGTTTTTTTTTCAGTTTCAGAACATGTTTCTTATCTATAATCATGATTTTGATCAAATCCTCTATGAAAACAATGAAATAAAATTCAAGGACTTAATAGATGATAGATGATAACATCCAGTAACTCTTTTCTTGTAGCTGGAAAATCTATAGGTTTAGTACATGGTACATATGAACATCCAGACAGAAGATCTTGCGAATCCATACTGTTGGAACATCATGTATCCAAATACTACTTTTAATATTAGTGTTACGGTTTTGTCCAGAAAATCTGTTTTCTTAGTGTTTTTTAATATCTTTTTGTTTAAGTTTGGTATAATATTTAGTGTAATGTAATAACATAAAAAGACTCCTCTCATAAGCTGTCATGTTTGACTCCTTTAGTTCCTATAGAGATCAGAGAATCTCCTTCAACTTTTTCTTGAAGTATCTCAGAGACTCTTTTTCACGTGTAATACGAGACTCGTCTAAAAAGTCATCCTGTCTTTAGTGTTAAATGCACATCCTTAGTCCATGTCTATCAAGGACATAAGTGGGAATTATATCTATCAACATAGTAATTTGCATTAACTAACCTTTGAGGATTTTGCTTGTATCAAGTTGTCCCACAGTCTCCTTTATTAACATATTTTTTCTAAGAAAAACTGTACACAAAAATCTGAAAGAAGAAATAACCTTTGTTATTTTCGATGACAGTAAACACTTATTAATTTATTGCATTTTTTTCTGATTAATAAATAGGTGATACTGGCAGTATTGTTGTTGTATTCGTTCATACAGTGTTGAAATGATATGGAACAGCTGTACGTCTGTAACTTGTATTAGTTCATGTTTTTTGCCAACTTAAAATAAAACTGACTTTTTTAATAAAGTGGGATTTTATTGTTATAATGATCATTGTGCTTATGAAACGATCAAAAAGCAGTAAGATCATGCATACGATAAGAGGTAAGTTCATAAAGAACGGTTGTCATTTATAATAGCACAAGTCCTGTTAAGAGTTTTTCAATCACAGGAATTGTGAGGCCACTCAGCCATGATGAGATGTTTCTAATCATTGTAGTATGGTCAATTATTTGTGCTTCTGCTGTAGCCAGTGTCCGATTTTTAATTACACTTAAAAACATCTGTTATTCAGTCTGAAAATTTTTAAGTAGTGTAAGAAACTACAAAAGATAAATATATACATTTTATGTTTATCACAAGGAAGTATTTTCAGTTACTGTACTTCATTGGCATCAATGACTTCTTTTTTATTGCAGGCATGTTTTATTTTTAATTTGTACAAACATAAATCTGTAGCTTTGTCTCTGCATTTAAAATGTCCCATATGGTCGGTGTTATAATGTTTAACCTTGTTCCTTTGCTCTTCTTTAGTCTGTTATGTAATTTTCTACATACTTAACTGTTTTTCTTCATAGTCATGTCACTTAAATGACCTTGTTTTCACAGGTGTAAATGAATGAAGTACAATGGCTGCATTGAAGTCAGACATACAGAATTCTTTTGGCCCATTGTCATTTCTAGGACATGGTGCCTTATGTCTAACTCTTTTCACCATTCTTCCTAGATCCCAAGGATCCTATTGCAATCGAAAGGCTGAATTTGATGAATATGGCTAAATTGAGCATAAAGGGATTGATAGAGTCTGCGCTGAACCTTGGGCGAACACTGGACTCTGACTACGCTCCTCTTCAGCAGTTCTTTGTTGTGATGGAACACTGTCTAAAACACGGACTAAAAAGTATGATATTTTAAGTTATATATTATGTTAACAGGTTTATACAAACAGGGCCAAAGTAACACAGCTTTGAAAATAGTTGTGAAGCTGCTTTTTGTGCTGTGAAGTAAAGATTTCTCCCATTTTTTCCTCAACTGGGAGTGATATATTTTTGGACTGCTGCATTTTGCATTCAAAAAGTATTGAAATTTTGTCTTGAACTGTATTTTGATAATGGTGATGGAAAAGAGTGATTATTCTGAAATTGATCTTTGCTTTCCATCCATGGGTTTGATTTATGCATACAGTAGATATGTAACTAAGAATTGAAGATACACTCCCTGAGAACCAATCTAAAAACATTAAATGAAAAACATCTTGTGCAAAATGCTTTGTGGAGCTTGTTACAAGATGGTCTGGTGCTGCTGATCTTACACACTGAAGTTAGGACATTTCCTTTTTACCACATAGTTATTGGAGTTCATTTCTTTCGTTGTTTTTAGACCTTTTAGCCCCATTCTAATCTTTTCTAAAACTTAAGCAGTTTGTATTGGTTGAAATGAAGCATTCCTATACTTATGTAACAGTGGTAACATTGCTTGCAGCATTTTTTCCTCTATTCTTAATTGTCCATCTGTGGTGTTATTTTGAAAGCTTTTCATTTACCACACAGTTGTATTTGAGAACATTTTGAACAAGTATACAAATTATTATACTCGTAGAAAAGGACATAAATGCTCAAAATACTTTGTGAATTTTTTTAGCAGTGGAAAGAATGCTCCTTTTGCCAGAGAGTGAAAGAGTGAAAGATGTTTTACATTTTTTTTGCTTCATTTTGTGATTCAAACTTTGAGAACTGAGTTCCAATGTACTTATTTTTAAGTTATTTAAAATTATTTTCAGAAGGAATACAGGTTTTTGTATTGTATTGAATTCATGCATACTATTTACCACATGACTTTCAATATGGTTTATTTTCTTGCAGCAAAGAAGACTTTTCTTGGACAGAATAAGTCTTTCTGGGGACCCCTGGAGTTGGTGGAAAAGTTAACCCCTGAAGCAGGTGAAATCACAGCCAGTGTTAAGGATCTGCCTGGACTCAAGTAAGCAAAGCGATATTGTGGGCTGGCATGGTGCTGTTACTGGAACTGATTACATTTCACAGGCTTGTTCATAAAAAAGTTTTTTTGAAAATGCTCAGAGATGATGGCATACTAGGTATATGCTGGAATTAATACAAGTTATATGGTATTTGTGAAACACCGTGAGTTTAGCATTGTAGAAATCCCAAATCTATCCTGGTGCACTTTTCTCTGTCTACAGAGTACTGTAATGCAGAGAGCCAAAGGAAAGAGCAATGCACTAATCAGTTCTTTTCCTCTTAAATTTGAAAAATGTTCTGTAGCTCATGGTTAATGGTCTTTTTTAGTGTTCTGGTTTGACAAATTGCATTGGTTCTGGATTTCAGGGAAGCAAATGCTGTCCCCCGTTCGTTTGATAACTTCTAAAAATATATTTTGCATTCTTGCTGCCTATATAAATGTACATGTGGATACAGAAAATCAAGGGGAGGACAAGTAAGGTAGCTTAGGAAGAATGGACATCTTAAATCATTCTGTATTTAATTATCCTTATTCCGTCTTTTGTTTTAATCTTTCTCCTTAAATTTGCCTCCACTGCCATACATATCCAGGGTCTTCCTACTCTTGACAGCTGAATGTAGAATTTTGATAATGATCTTTTTCATCACGTTAAATTGTGAACATTTGGATCTATTTTTTACATTTATAGCAATTCTTTCTGTTATTATAATATAATCGTTATTGTTCTAGAACTCCCATAGGCAGGGGAAGAGCCTGGCTCCGTCTTGCTTTAATGCAGAAAAAATTATCTGATTATATGAAGACTTTAATCAACAGAAAGGACCTTCTCAGGTAAACTGGATTTTTTTCCTCTTTGAAGAATTATTTCCTTAATACCCTAGATTTCATCTGCTTTACAGACTGCATATGTTTCATATTTTAGAACAACCCATAGTAACAAGTATAAGAATAACAAAAGAAGGGCTTAAAATGAGAGTAAGCCATGGGGCCCATTTTGCTTGTTAGTAATTTATTGATTAGGTAACTTATATCTGTTCAATCACACGTCCTAAGGAGTCATCTTAAACAATATCTAGTTGGACATATAATGCTAAAAAAATATAATTCCTTTTGCAAAGAAGGTTTTTTTAAGTGCAAATTGAATACAAAGACAATGGTATAATGAAGTGTGAATTTTATTTAAATTTAGAATTGGAATGTAATTTCTTTTATATATAGTCTGAGTGATGTGTTTTATCTATACAAGCCACACACATACCACTGGGCCTCTTTATACTACACATGAGAGACAGGACCTATTCATGCACCAAGCTCCTTAGAGCCTTACAGGAGAGTCTGCACTAATTGGAGGAGCAGTATGACCCTTATATTTAATATATATTCTGGCAACAAAATGAAAATGAAACAAAAATTTCATTTCTACTTTCAGTGAATTCTACGAACCAAATGCACTGATGATGGAAGAAGAAGGAGCTGTGATCGCTGGACTTTTAGTGGGGCTAAATGTGATTGATGCAAACCTTTGCATGAAGGGAGAAGATCTAGATTCTCAGGTGCACTCCTTTTTGAATATATGTAGTGTGTGGAGCACTTTTAAGCTTTAGGTTGTTTAATTGCTTGAAGGGGGCTTGAAGGAGTAGTGGTTAGTGTTATTGTCTTACAGCTGTTGGATCCTGGGTTTGTTTGCCTTCTGTGTGGAGTTTTGTATGTTTTAACTGATTCATTTTTTTCCTCTTCAAATCCTAAGCACGTAGTGGCTAAGTTAGTGAAATAGAAGTATTTGAAGTTCAAATTTTAATTGCATTCTTTTTCTGCAGGTTGGCGTTATAGATTTTTCTATGTATTTAAAAGATGGAGGACACAGCAGTAAGAGCACTGAAGGGTAAGGCTGTACACATGTCTAAAGTATATTATAGGTGGAATTTATCTATTAACATCCTGTGCAGCCTTCACTGAAGTTGTGGAATTTATTTGTCAGCTTCAGTGAGTTAGCCTGATCTTTTTGAAAGAAAATAATTTATATTGTTATATAAATGTTAGTACAGGAGGTAACAGATAAAATTCAGTCAGTCCTGACACCAGCTTGAATACAAGCAAAATATGTAAATTAAATAATAGTCCCTTACAGCTTGGACAACACAGTACAGTATGATTGGTTATACAAAACTAAAACATGAATTAATATTTACTTAATTTGTCCAGCTTTCCACACCAAGGTACTCACATTGACAAACTGTAATACACTTAGACGTAAACGCAGACCTTTGTAAAACTGTATTTGGATGGATTCTTCAAAAACAAATGGATGACAAACTATTCTTGCCAATTTTATATTAGAAATATTTCAGCAAACTTGAAACATACGGATCCTGTATCCATATTTAAGCTCTTTAGTGTCCAGCGCTTGACAGGGTTTGCACTGCAGTGCATCAGCAGTGCAGACCAAGGTTGGGCTTTTCTTGTCCCTTCTTTTCTATCTATCTTTGTGGACTATAGTTGGTCACTTGAACTTGGATGTCAAGTTCCAAGGAGTTCCAGTCTTGAAGGTGGTCTGACATCTGGGGGTTCCCTCATTTTGGGACAGTTTGCATGAACACAAGACTAGCAAGTCAGATAAAACCAGGGCATCTCTCCAAGACAAGAGACAATTGAAAATATCCATTATGCATTATACCCAACATATATCAATATCAAAATATGCTCACAGTCCTGTTATTTTCCCTTTATATTTTAGAGATGGGCAGATTACAGCAATTCTCGACCAGAAGAATTATGTGGAAGAACTTAACAGACACCTCAGGTATCAGCATTTTTGTTAGAATACTCTGAAAATGAAGTGAATCTGAAAGTTTATACAATGGATTTTTAATTGCAAGGAGTTGACTAAGATCTATTTTTTGTTTCTCTGGTCTACTTCATATTCAACAGCGCTTCAGTGAATAACCTGCAAGCAAAAGTGGATGCTCTAGAGAAATCAAATACAAAACTAACAGAAGAGGTTTGTATTTATTTTGAGTTTGTTCATATATTTTAATGTAAAAGTTTTTAGTTTTTTTTAAATCAGCCATGGTTTCTCAGTCAAGCATTTGAAAACTGAAAGTTTACGTTTTGTCCTAAATTATTTTATTATCTTAGGTTAGGCCCACACATGCCTGTTCTCTGAGATTTTTTTGTCCTGTCTAGATTTTCTGGCTGGATTAGCATGCATGTACATCTCCCAGTAGTTCAACCAAAACATCCCTGTCTGTTTCATTTTGGTCAGTTGGCAGTGGCAAACAACAGGATCATAACCATGCAAGAAGAGGTAGAACGAGTTAAGGAGGAGAGTTCCTATCTTCTGGAGTCAAACCGTAAGGTAGGTTTGGAGTCTTTGTGAAGCAAGCAGTTAACACTTGTTCATTAAGCCAGGGCCAGGCTCTGGTATCCTAAACGCACCCCTACATGCATTCTAAGCATATTTTGTAAATTCATCTTACAACAAGTCATTTGTTCAATAGGTTTTAGTACAAAATTTGATTTTTTTCTATCGTAATCCTAGCCTCGTCCAGTAAGCTTAAGTGACACTAGTAAGAGCCATGCTGTTCCTCCAGTAGGTTCTGTCTCTCACTGTGGAGCTTGTTATGTAGTAGTGCACCAGATTTCAGTGTCCTTAATATGGGGGGGTTTGTGGAACAGGTTTATGGGCTGTCAGGACAAGGATTGGAAACCATGCTTTAAATGCATAATTAAATCCAAGCATTAATTGATATGTATTGAAGTGCTTATCAGTGCTTATCAGGTCTTTTATGTTTGTGATTTTCCTAGGTGTCTAAAGTGGATGGGAGTGCTGATGGACAGGTATTAGGTGAAACACGGAAACAGCTCAAGGAAGAAACCCAGCTTCGTCTGGTATGTCTGATTGCATATATGTTAATGTGGCACCACACCTATTTGAGTCATTGCTTCCTTTTTTCTGATAGAACCTCTTTAAAAAATTGCTTTTACATTGGGCAGTGAAAGTATATTTAACTCTTCAGTGTAGAAAGTCAAATTAGAGGCATCCATGCAGTAATTTACTGTACAAAATGTTATAACACCTGAAACTGACCCTCTCGCAATGAGTTGTCTGAATACTGCCAACTTCCAGAAGTCTTGGTGGTATTCATACAGCATGACTGACAGCACAGAAAAGTCAGTTGGTTGATGTCAGCTGGATGAAGTCCAGACTCAACCAGAAATTCAGACTCAACCAGAGCGTGCATCACTTCTGACTGAGCCACTTAGTCTCCTTTTTTACCTTTGCTTTAAATTATTTACTATTACGTAACTCATACATTTGGTTCAGATAACCTGGTATTTTAGTTGTAAGCTGGTGTAGCAGGTTCATTAGTTTATTTTTACCAAAATTTACAAGCAATGCTCAAGCATCAAAAAGTGATTTGCTTATGCTAAGCATAAAGCACCAAACATATGAATGCATGTGAAATTTGTTCTTCTTGCTTAAACAACATAAAAGGTGATATGACCCTATAAGGAAAACCTGATCCATCAGATAGTCTCCTGCACACTCTCACTTAAATACAGTTGGGTTTTGTAGCTTCTATTGCGACCAAACCCACAATGAAGAATAGACAGCATTTGGATGGAATGTGACAAAAAAATAGGGCATAAGGAAGCTAAATGAAGATTATCAGGGCCCTAGCTTAAGGTTTTTCCTTGAAATTAGGATGTGGAGAAAGAGCTGGAAGTGCAGATTGGAATGAAGCAGGAGATGGAGTTGTCCATGAAGATGCTGGAGAAAGACATCTGCGAAAAGCAGGATGCTCTGGTGGCTCTCAGACAGCAGCTGGATGACCTCAGGACACTCAATCATGAGCTTTCTCATAAGTCACAGGTATAGTATAAGGGTATAAGAACAAATGAGACAAGCCCATCCTAGCCATTGCTAGTGTGGAGGGAAATAAGAGTTAACAAATAGTTCTGATTATTTTGATGAAATTAAAAAAAGCTGTTATTTATTTCTTCTAATTTGTAATGAAGTTAAGGAAGACAATCCAGTCATCTTTTTGTATAACAGTCGTTTAAAGAGGTTTTTAAGTTCTTTGTGAGGATTCTAAATATTCTTAGGTTAAAATGTTATTGAATGGAAAAGAGATAGAGTATAAAATTGCATTTTTGTTTTAATAAAATTGATTTGATGATTGATCCTTTGGTTGTAAGCTAGCTATCCTGATGAGTATCCCCGTAAGCTGGAGCACCCAGAGGAACATTGTAGCTGAAAATTGTTAGACATTAATTTAAGGATAAAGAAAACAGGAAGTGTGTGTTCTTATTTTATATGTACTGATGTACTGTATAATGCAGTCAGGGATAAGTGTTATTTGGGGTGAAGATAGGTGTAATCTCTAAAGCTGGCTGTGAAATGATGCCTAGAAATGTAGCAGTATCAGTTTTAGAAATGTATTATAACAGAATAGAATAAAGATTCTAAACTGAAGAGAATTGTGATTAACATTCATAGTCAGCTATGTGGCAAGTATCCTAATTTTTGTTTTAAAGTGAAATGTTTTTTTGATTTGCCCGTGTTAAATATTAAATCAAAGCCCCAGCTCATCTGCCTAAAGTAAATTCTGAAACCAGCATATGGTGATGACTTCCTGTTTACTGGAGTTTGCGGCTTCTAGCCATTGGACAGCTGCCATTTGAAATTTATGGGTGTGTCAGAGTTGAGATATAATTCCTAGATTGTCCCATGTTATAAATCAGACTTCATGTTATCATATCCATTTTATTTTTGCTTAGAGCTCTGACACTGCTCTAAAACAGAAGAGTGACATTATCAGCCGTTTAGAAGAAAAAGCAAACCAGATGGCTGGAACAATTAAAGTACTTGAACAGAGGTAAGAAAAAAGGAACATGTGCTTCCTCAGGGCAATTTTGCAAAGCATCTCTTGATATTTTGCAAATATCGATAATTAATAAAGCCAGTATTCTAACTGCTGGATTTGTGCGTTGTTTGACAAACAAATAGAGGATCATGTCAGGGTTATATCAGTAGTTAGCCAGACTTTCTGATATGAATATGTTTTGTGTAATACTAAAAAATCAAACTGATTTTAAATGACAACTTAGGGACCCTTGCACCATTTTTACGTATAGTGTCCTCTTCTATTTAAACATATTTTTGAAACAGCTTTCAATAAATACCTGTTTGGTAATAACACATTGTTGCGTAGTTCCCTAAGGATTAAACCACCAGTTAGGGAGATAAAAGTGATCAAGAATTGCAGTATCCCACAGCTTTTATTCCACTTTTGGGCACAATTTCCTAATTGATTCAATTATTTGGATAAGAAGCAGAATCTCCTGTGATGTAGGCTCTGATCGGTTGCTATTGAAAAGCTGCCCATCTCTGATTTAGATTTGCCTTAGCAGTGTGTTGCTGAGTCAGATTCTAAAGACCGTTGGGTAAATATGTGTCTATTGTACACCTATGTGTATTTGAGATTTGTATTTTGTTTCCTTTGAGTTACAAAACCCACTTCTGAAGGACTTGGTGGTTCTCCTGTCCTGTAATAACAACTGTTCTCCTGTTCTGTCTCTTATTGTTTTGTTCCATCACTTCATTTTCATCCTCTTCATTGCTTATTCTTTTGTGTTTTCCAAAAAGTGAAAAGGATATGGTGAAACAGGCCAGAAACCTAAATTCTGCTGCAGGCAAACTCCTCCCGAAACAGCATTAGGCTGTAACCTAAATGATGAACCATTTCGTAAATCTGCAAATGACTGAATTTAAACCCCATGTAATATAGATATGACAAAGCCAGAAAAATAATCTCAAGGTTAAACGTGGATCATAACTGTTACTTTTCTTATCATCTGTAAAATAAATCTCCTTGAATCTTCTTGGGTAACTTTTTCCTATCATCTGCTTTAATCATGAAGTGGCAACTTAAAATCAGTCCCTTTTCCTCTGTTTCCTTTTGTTTTGCGCCAAACACTGTTTCCAGTTTATAGAGTAAATGCAGTGAAATTTTGAGGTCCTAGACATCTGAATTTTCTCTGTCAGTACAGTTTAACCTTAGACTGCCTCCTCTTTTGCCTTCATATGTTTTTATAACGTGAGAATTCTTTCTAGCGCTTTGTAGGAAAGGAAGTAAACTCTTGATGGTGGATTTATCTGACGCTGTGTGCGTGTGGCCTCGTCGGCATTGTGGTTCAGGAGCCAGTTGGAGTTTTGCATTTGTAAACAGATCAATAAAAACAGAACAGATGTGAACTAACAAGTAGTTGTACCAACCAGATGGAATGTTTTGGAGTATATGCACAAGACCTTTTTAAAATGTTTATAAAATGCTGACTTTGGCTGATAATGCTTGCAAAATCAAAGATGTGTTAGTTGTGTAAGGTAAATTTGGAAGCTATGGTGATCTGCACCACAAAGGGGCATAATGATTGTTTTTTAACAATATTGAATACAGTTTGTATTCAAAAAGTTTTTTTTTTCTTTTATAAGCATTTAAACCTGTCAGCCACTTAGAAATAGCTTACCAATACATTTTTCATTTCATCGCAGCAAATTTAACCATTTTCAAATCTAAAGGCTTTTTCTTGTATAACAGTTGGGTCCCAGCAGTTTGGAGGAGTGGTCAGGGCTCTGTTTCCAGAGGTTGGGAAATTGTGGGTTTTCCCCACAATCCCAGATTAGATGAGATCCCAGATGAGGCAAAGCTGTTGTGCCCCTGATCAATGTGTTTGATCCAGCTTGCTCTAGTAAAAGGCCTTCTATATTATAATTTATGTTCACAACACTAGGGTCCTTATATTCCTATAGGAAGCCAAGCAGCTAAGTGTTTTGAATACTGGGCCCATAAAGGTTGTTTGGCTTTGGAGCAAAACAAGTCTAATTAAAACAAAGCGTTGGATGTCATATGCCTGCCTGGGGTTTGCAAAGGAAGTATGTGCCTGAACTGCATAGTTAGCTGGTAGCATCAGTACGATCTGGAGAAAGAAATTAATCTAGTTTTTAAGACAATAAAACTGATAGTTACATTACATAACCATAAACAATCCACAACAATATGTAAGGATTTCTTGTCTGTATGAAAGTCATGGATGGGCTGGTTATTTATATGCAGCATTTGAAAGACGTGGAAATGTATGTTGATCTAACCTAGGTGTAAACTGTAGTAAGAAATAGCATAATAAAAGACATTTAAAAAACAATCTGCCTGGTTCACATTCTTTTGACAGATCCCCTCCATCTTTCTCACAGTCCTTTACTTTTATTTCAACTCTCATTTGGGTTCTTCTGTTTTTATTTTTAAAATGGATCTTCCTCCCCACCATGACTTTAGTTTTTTACCACAAGTTCATCTGGCTCAAATCCAGATCGCGTCAAGCAGAGAGGGAACGGGATTTAGCAGAAGAGGCCAACCGGCTGTTCAAGAAGGAGTTTGGGGACAAAATTGAGAGCCTGCAGCTTGAGATCGAGCAGCTGAGAAAGCAGAGGTATGCAACACCTTTCACTGGTGAGCCTGGAGCCAGGAGGTTCTTGGTATTCCAGGTCTGTTAATCCTACCAAAACCTTATTGGAATTTAAAACCTGCTGTATTATATCAGCACAGTACATGTGACCATTAGCACATTCCTCACTGTGGGTTTTTGTACAATGTATTAAATAATCAGTTTATACAGGCCCTGCAAAGGACCAGCCTTCATTATATTATTTTTAACATTTATTTTTCTCCAAGGTCTCAGCTCTTAATCACTTTCCAAGGTTTCTGTTCTCTGGTCTCAACCCTTCCCACTTTTAGTGGCTGTGTGGACCATACCAAGTTGAATACTTTTGCCTTTCTCACAAAGAGAAGGCTGTAGATTTATACTTTTTCCTATATTTGTTCCCTCTCAATTCTCTTTAAAAATAACAAGACACACCCTCGCTTAGTAGTTGCACACAAATAGTTACAAAATACTTACCCCCCTGTCTTTTTACTGCACGTCTTTATATCTACAGTATATCGTCTATTTAGTGGAGACTGGTTGCAATCAAATAACTGTATATTCAGAAATAAATGAGGCAGAATTTGATAGATCTGTTTTATTGTAACTTAATCTTAAACTTTCATGGTTGGGGAAACTTGAACACTGTAATTACCTAGCATGTTTATTAATTAAATGCACAATTGTACTTAATTATTGTACCACCATATTAACAGCATACCAACAGCAGAAGAAATAACCAAAGGTTTTAATGAAATCACAGATATTTCTTTTTTACCTCTTCAGTTACAGGAAGAGAGTGATATCAGGATTTAGAGGGCAGCAATTAGAAACAAGTTTTATAAGGCACACTGGAGAAGTGGGAATGCAGGCAGTGGGTGTGTATGAACTTTTGCTTTCAATTTGAAACCAATAGGAATGTTCATTTATGTTATCCTTCAGTTTTCTTAAACCTTCTAAAAGATTGAAAACTAAATGTAGTCTTATGTAGTAGTAACTTTTTAATGTTTTTGAAATACAGAACCTATGCATTTATGCTATGTACATAAACTCATTAAGACAATCTCCTAGGTAAAACATGCACTTTATTCAAAACGTGTATTTACTTAAAATGTATAAAACAAAATCATTGCAACTTTTCATTTTATATCCAAAGAATGAAAATCGGGTTGGTTTTGATATAATCTGCGTCAAACAGAAGCTCTGAAGTGATAGAGTTTGGAGCCCTGGTACATTTGTGTCAGATGCACTGCAGATCACTTTTGTTTATGATGGATTATTTGAAGTTTCTCTCATTAATTAATAGGAAAGATGTTTTCTCCATTTGCTGCACATTTTAATGTGTCTTTTATCACGACCCTAGGCAGGGGGTGCTTAAAGTTTATGAAAAACATCTTTCAAGAACATTTAGAGCTAATTAGGATTTTTTCCTTCATTTGCTCTTAAAATATGTTCTTTATTGACATAAGCTTCAATGTCAAATAATGGCAAAGTTTTAGTTTGCCATTATTACTAACATTGCTTGCAAATAAAGAAACAATGAACGGAGCAACTAAAGTCTACTAAAAGATTGCTGTGGACCTTGCAGAAAAGAGACAACTTTTGTAATAATAACAGGGGGATGTGCTCTTTGCAGAATAGTGCTTAGTCAGGATCATCAATCTGTTGTTGATAAGCAAGCTTTCTTTTTTAATTAGAGCTCTGTCAGTCACATCTGATAGTGATTAATTGGATCAAATTACAACTGCTGGATGAAAGAATGAAGTCGGTGATTACTGGATATGTTTAGGCCTACATAAATAGTTATCTTCTATTTCTTAAAGTCCTTCTATTTCTTAAAGTCCAGATGTAGTGTAAATTCTTTAGAATATGTAACCTTATTCTCTGACAGGCCATCTTTAAAGATATGTTTTTGAGCAGTGTAACTTTTCTTAATGTATTGTGAATAAATAGAAATTCTTTCGAATAACTTGTTGAACAATGATTCGTATTCACAGAGGATGAACTTGGAAATCGTCGGCATTCAGGAGCTATTATTGTTTGTGATGTTCATTACTGGTAACTCAGGTTATGCGGTGCCACCTCAATAATGAAATTAATTAATTATATTCTTGAAGTTTCCTCTTCTACTTGTGAACAGAAAAATACTTTTTTAAATTGACATTTCTGAGGCAGTACATGACACTGCGGCGATATTAAAGATTGTTTGAAAGGTATTTTGCTGGTGCCATGTTAGGTAATGAGGCAGGGGCATGTTCTGATGCTGCAGGCATTGTAACGACACTCAAGGAATGTGCCATATTAGAAGGTGCACAGCACTTTGCAGAGTTTGCAGAACCGTTCCACAGTCCTGATCTTAAGTCTCTGTGGTACGCTTGTACATTAGCATGTCTTCAAAACTGTAGGAAGTGATCTAAACAGCTGTGTAAAAAATTGATGTTTTGTGCATAGGGCATAGTAGCAGATTAGCCAGAGCTGGTTCTTTATTTTGTGGTGCAAAACTGAGTGTCCTAATCCAGTGTTTTCAAAACATCTATACTGATATAAGTGGGTGGGTGATTGCTTCAAATGTTACATTTTCCAATGCACACACAAATTGCAGTACTGTATATGTTCTTTAATTGGCTTGTAAATGCATGTGGGAGAATATTCTACAGATGCATATTACATGCCTTACTAAAACTTCATTTTTAATGCAGTGACTGAGGACTCAATGATTCACTTTGAGTCGGCGCATATCACTCATTTTTAATATAAAAATAATATTGAAGTCCTTTCATGGGCATAGTCCTGCCTTTCGCACACCCTGTGCTTCCAGGATAGGCTTCAGATTGTAGTGACCCTTACCAGGATTGAGTGGTTTTCTGAAAATCTGGAAGTATGCATGTGTATACCAAAATATATTGGTCTTAATTGAAGCTGATTACCGCATCAGTTTTTTTGCAATCTTTAAATGCACATCTACACATTGTTTTTTATGCAGGTCCGTTTTGGAGCTGGAGAAAAGAGAAAGAGAGAGGAAGACAGGCCTCCATATTGAGTCCGTAGCAGTGGATATAAAGGCATCTCCACCAGTGAAAAACTACAAGCAGCAGATGAAGGATATAAAAAGGGTGAGAGCCAGTAGAAATGACTTAACAATGTATGAAAGGTATGCTTGGTATGTAATCGCTCTTGCCAGACATAAAACAGTATGCAACTTTGTTGTTTGGAGTCAGGTGAAGAAGTATCAAATTAAAAAGTCATCAAACTGAGATTTTGGTATGGAAATTATTTTCCATTAAATACATTGGTCTGCATTCTTGTTTTTGCTGCAGTTTATCCTGTCTGTGTTAAGTAACACAATGGAAATTCTAAAATGAGTTTTAACAGAATTTCTTGTTTGACAGGAGCTTCAGGCTGTTAAAGAAGAAAATGTTAAATTAAGAACTGTTTTAGATGGAAAAGAAAGCCTCAACTCAAGTTTGTAAGTTGGTTGTTTTATAATATATACAGTATAACACGGTAATAATACTGTGGATCAGTGTGAACATGTTTAGTGTAGTGAGAAATGGGATTTTTCAAAGCACACTTTAACACAGTTGAAGGAAATTAGAGACGCAAATGAAAATGATGAATGCTAATAATGTTGGTGACTCTTTGACACCAATTACCATACACATGACAAAAGGTGTAACTTATGAAACAGCTGTTGAAATAAACTAGAACTGGTAGCCAGGGAAGATCATGCCTTTAAAGACTGACAATGAGATGATTTAATGCTGCAGCCTACATCAAAGAGCAGGTTAAAGACATCAACTACAAAATAACCCAAGGCAGTCTAGACATCAGCTGGTCAAGAGGGTTGAAAAGCCTTTTAATATGGCCTTTTGAAAACTGGAGAAGACTGTGGTGGGCACAGTGTCTATAAGTGTAAACAGATGTGGAAAGTAGAGTTCCATAAAATACAGTGTAACACCTTTACATGCAAAAGAAACAGTTTTTTATTGTGTCTTCTCATCTAGTCTTGCCAATTTTATTTTAAATATCTTAAATTTATATACGGTACTCTAAAATATACCTTTGAAAAATCAAAATCGATCAGATCTTTCCATCTTTGTCAGTATAGAATGTGTGAGTAAAATGTGGAACTTGATTTGGATAAAGGATATAATGCACTTTTTTTTTTCTCTGTTTAAAGATCGTCTCAGACTGAAGAAGAACAGGTAATGAGGTTTTGCAAGATACTTAAACCCCCAGCTAGGTACAGTACCCTGTACTGCTAATGGAATGTGAAGGCAATATCAGCTGGCCAGTTGTAGGGCTTTTTTATTGAACTGCTGTTTGTGTGCCTCACATCCCAGTCAGTGTTTTATTTTGAGATAACTTTCTAATTTGTTTCCTGACAAAGTTTGCCTGATGTTATGTAAAGGCAGACACGTGCATGGGTGTCTGTATCTCGTTTCATTAGTGATGTTTTCTCTTGAATCCATATTTTCTGTTGTGTTCTACCATGTTTTTTCACTTATGGTTTGCATGCTGTTCCAGGACCAGTCTTCAACTAAAAACAGTCAACCTTCATTATGCAGACTGTGCAAAGAGGAAGATTCCTTAGCAAGAGTGAAGGTATGCAAGAAAGGAAACATTAAGTAAAGGAAAAAGTAGTGCATTTTGATATTAATTTTGTTTTCAATATAGACTTTTCCTGATGTCTATTAAAATTTATTTTTGGCTTTACATTGAAACACTAATTTAACTATGAAGATTAACTGAATAATGTAGCCAGTGGCTAATGTTCATCGACCCGCATTATTGTGACTTGTGACAGTGGTTGCAAATGGATTACATGTCCCAGAATGTAATGCACCAGAAGTTAAGACATGGCAAAGTATTTCTAGAATTTTAATTATATAAAGCGTTATGCTAATCATTTATTATTTTATGTTTTATTCATGTTTTTAACTTTCAGAAAATCAGTGTGCATTTAACTCTTACATTTCTAACAGCAATAAACTCTGCACAGTACCTAGGACAACTCGGTGGCAGTCTGGACCATGACAGAGAGCTATAATCAGGGCATAATTAATTTATAAAACTGTAATGTCTGGTGATTTAAACTTTTTTATCGTTACAGAAGCAATGTAATAACTGCAGAGAAGACTTCTGTGAGAACTGTCTTGCGAACGAATTGCCTTTGCCCTCTTCAATTAATCCTGTGCAAGTGTGCACTGTGTGTCATAAGAAATTACTCAAGCAATACTCCTCAAGTCCAGTTTAACATATCGAGAATCTTGGTAAAACCAGGAATTCAGCAGCTGTTTATTTTGTATAAATGAGTTAGCATATCATCTAAAACAGGTAGAAGGGTTTCAGTTATCTTAATTGGGTGCTTTTATCTGAGAAAAAAATACTACAAGGCTTTTTGGATTTATTTTCAGTGATGTAATCTGAATGCTCACTTTGACCAACAGTAGTTACTAACAACACAGTCAAGGCAATGCATGAAATGTTCTTTCAAGTGCTTGTATTGTACATTTAATACCTCTTTCTGATGACTGCATCAGAATGAATTATGAAAAATTTTAGAAAATGTCCACCGAGTGGATTTATGTGGTGCATGAGTTAACTGGTTTTTCTGCATCTGTTGTGTTGTGTATATATAATATCGGGTAATGCAATGAAAGGTTATCTAAATGGTAACATCTTTGTTGTATTACACAATATAAATAATATAAACTCTATAATCTGTAAATTCTATTTACCATTTTAAAAGGTAACCAATACTTTCTGTATGTGCAAACTGAATTAATTTTAATCTCTCTTTATGTACTATACCATAAAAATGTTACAATCGTGATAATGATTCTAAGTGCAATACACAGTGTTTTATTTCACCCTATGATTATCAGTCTTAATTTAGGAAGTAACACTTTTTAGTTCAATATGCAGGACAGCTTTTTTTCTCTCTTAAATTCTTACACAAATGTGTGCAGCACACCCCAAAACGTTAATGTCACTGGGCAATAGAGAAGACATTTTTCCTGCACTGTACTTTGTAAGCCATAGAAACATGCACAGATTTAAGCCAAACGTAACACCACTTCCCTACTTTACATTTGTTTGTGGCCTGTCAGTTGGAATAAATATGGATTCTTGGTTGAAGTAGTATGATTTTACAATTTAAAAAAAACTGAAGTGGAAGACCTTTTAACTTTTGCTTTGTATGATGTATTGTTAGTTGCTGACACAAGTTTAATCATTATTCCTGTTATCAAAATACGAGTGTGCAGTTTATTGGAGCTTTAGTGTGAAAAGCATTTTGTGACCTCTAAATTCACAAAAGTACTGTTTTTTTAGCATTTATTAGCTGAAGTTTTTGCTGTTTAATAATAGAAGCTGTTAACAATTGTGCTCTATCCTCATAACTTGGATTCTCAAGATGCAGACTTTCTTGCAGAATAGTAACTGGTTAGAACTGAGTTATCTTCAGTTTTTATTTTGAAAACTGTTAAACCTTAACTTTTTATTAAAGTAATAGAGAATGGTCATCATTTTCAGTAATTCAAATGTTTTTCATTGTTTTATATGGTTATGGAAATTGTTGCTGAATAATGGTTAAATTATTAAACTAAATATGTTCCTTGATTTGAATGAATAAATAAATGATGAAATAACTGGCGTGTTTAAGATCTTTAATTAGATACATAGTATTTCTAGACCAACATTTAAAAGCAGGGGTTTGCACAATTTGTGTCATTAAGCTCTCAGATGCTTATAATTATAACTTATAAGAAGATCCAACAGCATTGTATCTTAAAAGAATCTTAATCTTAAAAGAACAAAGCTGTCCAACCAGAACATGCACCTGCAGAGCTGGGGCATGTTGAAAAACATTGGGGGGTAGTGCTACTGAGGTCTTGCATCACATCCTTCCTTTCATTTTTACACTCTGCTTTCATGGATGGGTGCCTTTAGAACAATTCAGACGTACGTTTTAAAAAAGGTGATCTTCTGAACAGCATTCAAGATGTGAATAAGGCATCTTCTATATTAACAGCAGACGTCAATCTAGTTTAGCATTCCCAAGAGTAATCAGGAGTGGATTCATCTTCTGGTACCAATTGTGAGAATTTTGCCTGAATGCAGCACAGCCCCACGAAATGCCTTCCAAAACAATAAGGTTAGAGCTACTCATAAACCAAACCTGCAGTAATTTTTTGTCATTGTGCATTCATAAATATTTTTTTCGACCTACTGTGCATGCTGCTCAGTAGATTGGGGAGTCTAAGTTATTAAATGAATTTTCCTCTCAATTCAAACAGCTTATACTAAGTGCCAAAATAATTTTGTAATTTGACAGCTTTGCCTTCTCCAATGGCCTAGGTTAGACTGGCAGCTAAGTTTAGCACATATCTTGCTGCAGACACATATTTTAATGTTCATTTGATGTACCCAAGAATCTCAAGAACATATTTTTATTTAAAAGCCATTTTAACAATTCAGTAATATGTGGTACTATACATATCAGTACTGTGCATATGGATACTTCATTTTTCATTGAAGAACTATTGCTCATTCATTTATACATTGAGAACCATACTAATAGTGAATGTTTAAATAACATTTTTAATATTACGGTGAAATGATACAAAAATCATATGGTTCTGCAGTTTTCAAAGAAATCACAGAAGCAATTTATTCGACGTGTACAACAGATTGCATGGACAGCACTTGAAAAGAAGCATGGTAATTTTAAAAATCAATAAATAAATGTTCAGATTTCCAAAATGATATTGCTCTATTAAACATTCTTGAGATTTCACAGTGTGTCATCACTGGCTCCTGTTTTCACCTGAAGGGGGTAAAGAAATTGTAAGAGTTACTATTAGTAAAAATGTTTCTTTTTGAATAAAATTACTATGAATATGTATGTCATTCCTAATACTACAGCTTTTACTTTTTGATAGTTGATACTGTGCTGAAACTTACAATCTTTTTCAAAATAACATACAAGACATTCTCAGAATAGCTATCACTAATTGCATAATAAGAAATATAAATTAGTTTTAAATTAAGGTTAAGTGACTCATGCAATCAAGAAGTAGGTAGGAAAACTTCCTAAGTTTTTTTTTTTTCCCCTCAATTTTACTGTGACATCTCAAGCCGCCTAGGACAGATATTAGCTTTAATCTTACCTCCTCTTTGTTTTTTCCAGAATTTAGGAACAACTCCACATACCGATGTTCTGGGTACAACACAAGAAAAACTATTTATATCCATTGTATTGGTACAAGAAATGTTAAAAACTATCAAAGAAAGTTACAGTGACAGTACTTGAAAATTAAACATTTGCAATTTAAGGAGCCCTGTCATGTTAAAACAAGCACATTCATATGTACTGAATGCATTCAGTTTTTCAAACACAGGTTATGTTGGACTCTTGCCCACTCTTGTGCCAAAGCTACCAGGGTGTTGATGTTTTAGTCTGTTCCCTTTTGTGCTTTTCTGCACAGATATTTTAATATGGCAGGATCACAGAACTATGTGAAATATGCATAATGCATAATATGAATACATTCCAGTTGATGGCAGAGGAAATCTTTTTTTAATAAAGAGAAGGTGAATTCTTCCAAGTCTTGACGTACCAGGTCATGATAGTGCTGAGATATTTTAAAAATCTCTGGGAAAAAAACCCACACAACCTGAGAATTAAACCCTCTTAATTTGGCAATGCGTACTATACAGCTAGTGCTATATATTCCTCTGTTCGTGATGCATATGTGGTTCATATTTTAATTCTAATTGTAGTTCACAATAACTCAGCCTAAATGAGCTACAGAAAAGTGTTCTACATGTTTTTTCTTGAGGCTACAGTCTACAGCAGTGGTTCTCAAACTTTTTGGACCAAGTACCACCCCTAATCCAACCAAAGCATCCAAGTACCACCTACAAGGCATCATCTCATAGGAACCCCAGAAATTCTTAATGACCAACATGAGCATGCGTGTGCGCACACAATCACACACACATAATAATAAATATTATAATAATGTAATGCAACGGGGGCTCAGGCGGGCGCCCTTGCTGCATTAGGTTGGCCCCCCACCTTTGGGGGCTCGAACCCGGGACTCCCACTTCACTCTGCAGAGACCCAGCCCGGTGAGCCAAAGAGAGATCTCTTTACAGCCCAGTAGCTGTAGTCCTGCTATCACAGGGAAGGGCAGTGACGTCACCTGCTCTGGTACGCTGGCTCTTACACAGTGCCTGTCGGCCGTAAGCGTTACACTAATAAACTTTATTTGATATAGTGCCTTTAAAGGTGGCTTCTCAAAGTGTTTTACAGGAAAAAAACATTAACAACAACTAATAAAAAAGCACCATTTCAGTGAGAGGGGTGAGCCTGTTTAGTTGAGCAAAGCAGAGGTGAATTAATTTTTCGAGCCTTGATACAATTTTTTTAATCTAACAGATATTAAATCGTCAGGCATTTCCTTGACGGCAAAGGTCTCGCTGTTGATGTTGTAATACGTACATTAATTTCTGGAGCAACCTCTCTAATTCGTGCAACTACACCGTTATGTCGGCTTGTCATTGCTCTAGCACCGTCTGTACAAACTCAGACGCATTTTATCCAGTCGAGGCCATTCTCTTCGATAAATTCATTCAGAAGATGAAATATGTGCTCTCCTGTACTTCCTGTTGGTAGCGGTTTACAGAACAGAAAGTCTTCATGGGACATGCCCTCAAACTCGTATCTAACGTAAACGAGCAAATTGACCAAATCGACTACAGACTCATCTAATTGCAGTGAAATACATCTGCTCATCTTAACGCGCTCTATCAGTGTTCTTTTGATATAATCCTTCATTTCAATAATTCTATGAATGACTGTGTCTTTCACAGGGAGGGGGGCAGCAGGTCGAGCTGTTTAGCAGCTTTTTCTCCACACATAATACGTGTCAGCTCTTTTGCCAACGGTAAATAAGGTTCTTCAAAAAAAGTGTAGCTTACCTGCTTTAGCAATCTGTAAGCTTGCATTTTTCCACGTTTCCGTTTTTATTTCCGTATTTATTTAAAGTTTTTATTTCATGCGCGTGGGAGCGAAACACAGAGAAGCTCGGTGTATTTTTCTCAAATTAGAACAGTTATTAAATATTTTTCTGTTATCATGCTTTCGTGTGCTCACAAGATTACCTGCGTTCCTAGCACGTATTTCTATGCATTCCTGTGTTTACAACGTTGGCATTGTTCTAAAATCACGCTCATTCTCCTTTCTCCCTATTTGCTGGAGATACAGTAGCTTTTTTTAAATACAATTGGTCACTTGCATCCGTAGCATGCATTCCTATAGAGTGGTATAGAATTACAGAGTATCTCTTGTGTCCACTGAAGTATTAGCGCGCACTGTATCGTAGTACACAGGCTGCGTATTCGACACGTATTAAAATACAAAATATGAAAACCCGTCCCGATTTTTCAGCGCACACAACACAGTTCCAGGGTCATTTGGTGTACCACCTGGCGGCACGCCACGTGCCACTGCCGGTACGCGTACCACAGTTTGAGAACCACTGGTCTGCAGGTTACATATAGTACCTTCCCTTATGGACCTGCTTGCTTCAGACCAGGGAAACGATTAAAATGGTCCACTTAAGACAATTTTGTTTCTGCTGTAAAATACAAACCCCAACAAAAGAACTGCTGGCTGCATTGTACATTTTCTGCACTGCAAAAAATATTGCAGGGCCCATGGTAAGAGCATGAAGTGAAGGAAACTCACGGATAAGCATCCTGTCTCGGGACATGGCCATCACTGCCTCTTCGTGAGTGGCAAAGTACACATCGGCCTCACCAGTGGCTCTGCCATCCCCGCTGTACTCGATCTGGATCTTCACAAGCTTCAGCGGAGAGAAAAACTGCAAAAATAACATAAAGCTTGCACATTACTGGTAACACATCTACAATTAATTGTTCTAGAAAGAACAGGATTTAAGTAACATAAAATCTTGTGCTTAAAGTTCTTTATAATACTGTATACAGGAGGGCTAATCACTTGAGAGTACTGGATTTTCTTAAGTCACTTGCATGCTATACCGTTAATCACGATACATGAATAAGCACAATATATGAAACTGTTTGTTAAAGAATTGGAGATTTTCTTACTTCTGCAACATCTTGTCCAGTAACCTGAAAAGGCAAGCCTCTAATATGTATGTGGTAAGCACACAGGTTTGCACTTGGATCATTTTCAGACTCCCACTCCGGAGCACAAATGCCTGTTAAAAAATAAAACATTTACATTCTTAAAACTTGCCGCGTTCCAAGATGCCAAATTTACAGACACCCAATTTACAGTGAATGGTTAAACTCAAAAGATTTTTTATTTTATTTAAATTTTTAATAATTTGAGGAATTAATTTCATAGTGAACAACGGCCAAGGTGAACAGGGATTTAATGAGAATACAGAATGTCTTATGGCAGTGTGGTGGTTAGTGCTGCTGTCTCACAGCTCTTGGGTTCTGAGTCCAATTTCCATGGGTTTTATCTGGCTGCCGTGATTTTCTCACCAGTGTGGGCTAACTGGTTTTTCGAAATTGTCTCCCATGTGAATAAATGTACTTGTGCCCTGCGATGGAGTGGTGTCCTGTCGTGGGTATATCCTGATTTGTGCCCTCTGCCTGGCAGATGAATGCCCTACCCCACCATCACCCTGTGTGGGACTAAGTGATTATTGCCAACACATGTACATGTGCTTTAAAGTTGTACTTTTAAGTCAATAGTCATTAATTCCACTCTTCTTGCTGCCTTACATGTAATGTGTTAAAAGTGAAAAACATTTGTTTCTGCCTAATATATTAATTTAAGAGGAGGTAGGGCAAGAAGAACCACTTGCTCTTATTCTTTTAAGCCTAAGATGAAAATGATCAAGAATGTGACCATGCAGCAGAGAGAGAATAGGATCTGCAAGTGTGAAACAGGACAACGCGGTGGGGGTCATATGGCTTCTTTTAACTGCAACTGGATTGTAGTTGTCAAAGCAGGATTTTTTTTAGTATTCAACCTGCAATGCAAATGAGTTGTATATATATCTTTTTTTTATTTAAGAACATTTTAGTTAAATTAAGTAGTCCAAAAAATCTGCACATTTCAATACCAGAAAAGATCCAGCATTTTCTGCAATGAAACCATTAAAAACATATCAGTTTAAGCCACTTGCTAATCTTACTTCTCCTATGCTGAGGAGGTACATCAGTGACATTTTCAACAGTCCTTCTGGCTGTATGACTGGACCCAGGCTCCAGAAATGAAGGTTGGAAGTCTCCCCTTTTCTTCTGCGAATCATACTTGGCTCGAATCGCACTCTTCTGGCTCGGGAACACTTCGATATATCTGAAAAGGAGCTCGTAGTTTTTAATATAAACAAAGTCATAGAAATGTCACATGCTCAAGCAATCCTTGTGAAGTGTGTTCGTACCTGTTTCCTATTATTTCTCTGTCCCTCTGTAATGCCTGATCAGCCATTTCCTGTGATGCAAACTCCACATAAGCATCCCCAGTACTCCGTCCCCTGAAGTCCTTTACCAGTGTCACTCCATTCTGAATGATGTCAAGACCTGTGTGCAAAATGTTTTCAACTAATTACAGATGCAGCATGAAAGTGTTTTTTAATGTTCAAGGTGATACAGTATTTAAAGTTTCTAAAAAAAAAAGCAAAACACTCCTTCACAGTTACACAGATTTAACTTTGCACTACTTTCAGTGCATTTTGAATCTGAGGTAGGAGAGGAAACATTTATACAAGCCACGAAGTGACATTTCTATTGTTAGTTTTTTTATCCGTCAGTGTGCTTGTACAGCTAAAAACCTTAATATGTAATTGGAGGAACAGATTATATTTCAAAGATTACAGAATAATTTACACGGATCTAATCTTCAAAGATTTTTATGTCATGCACTTGATGAAATCCCTTTCCAGAATAGAAGATTTGCTGACAGATCACTAATACAGATTTATTAACTTAGCACTGGCCATTGTTAAAAATGTACAGCTTTAAATTGTTAGCTAGCATTAGCAATCTCAATAGGGTTTTCTGAATGCTTTAGATGCATATGCCCTAAAATGGCTTGTATATACAATAAGGAACAGAATGTTTTTTTTGTCACTGGTATTGAACTTATGGAACATCTTCCTTTGATCCTAATACATTTTAAATGTGACAGGAAGGAGCTTGAGGGATGCTCAGATCCTCTGAGAGAGAAATAAAAAGGCTTTCCTTTTACTCTGCTTGTTATGCAACTGTTATCTTCTGTAGTATGACTCTGGAGAGTTGCCTGTTGTTTTTGTATTCTGTGTACAATTTTGTAATTCTTGAAATATACAAATGATGAACAAATTAACAGATGATAATAACAACAAAGAAAAATTCAAATAATGCAACACAGTCATGAAAATAAAGACAAAATGTGCTCATGCTCTATTCCTCAAGGAATACTCAGCTGATGGTTAGCATAAAAACTGGAAAGATCTGTCAGACATTGAAAAGAACAATTTAAAGAATACTAGACTGGATTGACAATGCGTGCCACTAAAGCACAGTGCTGGCAATAAATGTCTCTACATATGTACTGAAAGAACACATACTGCAGTGACAATTTTGTATTGTAAGTACCAAACAACTAACTTTTTGATTTACTTATGTTTTGTACCTTACGTTTACTTTTATTAATAAAGGTTTGAAAAAACAAAGCTGAGAAATAAAGTATAGTATGCAGCAGTAAATGGTACTGCTACTTTGACAACAACAAAACTAAACCAACCTGAAAAAAAATGAATTATATCATTTTCAGTGCAGGTGTATGGAAGTCCTCGGAGTTTAACAATTCCATCCTTAACTGGAGAATCTGCAGACTGCCTCAGGATATCTTCTGCATCGTTGTTTGTCACTTCAAACACTGGAAAAAATTAAACATGCCTCAGGTACCTTTTAGAACCACTTGAGAAAAGTGCAATTTTTTTATTATGTTAGTCCAACTGCCCTGGAACGTTAAATAATAGCATTTAAGGAAGTGGTTATGAGTGTTTAACAGTTAACAGCTGAAATTCCTACACACTGTTAGGACACGTTTTCAATATGTTTGAACCATACTATTTCTTCTAAAGTCTATGTTAAAAAACTACTGTATGAATGAGCCTTATTGTATTGCCCTACCTTGGTCGATGAAAGAGTAAGTTTCTTATGATTCCCAAACACAGGCAATATATCATTCTGTGTTTTCATTAAAACACTATTTTTTCTTTAAAATTTGCCTTGAGGACACTATTTGTGGAAGCTCTAAAAATGTACTCGGAGTACTAACTTTTCTTTAGTCATAACTAGTTAAGCTAGAGATATGTAGGAAGGAAGCTCACAGTACTTAAACCACCTCTTGAGCGTTAAAATGGGTATGTCATCAATTAACGTCTTCATGAGGGGAGTTAAGCTGTAGATAAAAGAGTGGTGACATTCGCAGTGAATGATCACTCACTAATGCAAGACGCCCCCACAGCATCTCTACAGATGACAAAGGCAACCTTTAAGCCAAGCAAGAAATGTAAATCTATTTCTCTTAGATTTCTAGCTGCCCAGTATCTGCCTTTTGTCACAAGGCAAGAGGGTTCACACCAGTCTCTCCTTAAAATTGCATATCTGCCAGTTTCCAGTAACAGTTCGCAGAATGTGGTCATGGTGTGGCCCTGAGGTCAAAACAATTCCTCCACCACACTACCAAGACTCCTTCCTTCCAGAAAAGTGACAAAAATGGTTTATGGTTTATGCAGATTATAAAAATGTAAAACTATATTTATGTTTCTTCATCTGTAACAGTAAACTCATTATTCCTAACGGTAACAGCTGCTTAATGTTTGTAAACCTACAACAGAATGGCTTAAAAAGAAAAGAATCAGGATTTTGAAATGGCCAAGTCAACGTCTTGAGATGTTGTGGCAGGACCTAAAGCTGTGCATAAACAAATGCCCTCAAACATCACTGAGCTGAAAGCCCAGCTGTTCTGTAAGAAGAAGTGGGTAAGAATTCCTCCCAGGCAATGTGAGAGACTGATAACCTCTTAAGATAAACATTCACTTCAAGTTACTGCTGCCAAAGGGGCTACCACACATTACTTTTTGACACAAGGCTACTGAATGTTGATTTTTTATGACAAAGTATAATTTCTGTGCTATCCGTTACATGAAGCTAGATTTATCTGCTGCTGGAACTTGGTGATGGCTAAATGAAAGTTAGGTATTTCTTAATATGTAAAACCCTAGAATTGTAAGGGGGTGTAATTTTCTTTTACACATCACTGTAGGTATTTGTGACAGCAGCATAGCACAGTGTGTAACTCTTTGAACTCATAACTGACAAGTTGTGGGCTTACATTCCTGCTGCAGACACTGCTGTTGTGTCATGCGTGAGGTACCCAACTTGCTCCTCCCAGCTGTGTAAGTCGGGATCGTTGCCAGGGGTTAATCCTAGTGATGAAGTGAACACCCATCCAGGGGGTTCACATGCTCCCTAGTCTGCTAAACACTACAGAAACCCTCACTCTGGTATTAACTTTACCTTTTACTGGAAAATAGGAAAGGAGGAATTTGATGTATTCTGGAATTTCGGCAATATTTATACAAGACATCTAATCGTAATTAAGAGTGGAGAACACCATTTAAATTAAATCCTGAAGTCTACAGTCTGCTTATACACTTTTCATATATATATTTTTTTAATTTATGTATAAATCAATTTAACTTGAACTGTTGTAATTAGAGGTTTGAAGATTCCGATCAATGTGAATTAATTATAATGTAGTAAACAACAAGTACGGCTTATCACCCAGTCATTTGAGAACCTTGGATCAACTTACTACCACTAATTTAGTGCACTGTATATATAAGGAATAAATTAACTGCAGTGAAACTGCCCTCCAGGTACAATGTGACCAGATAGGCCAGCTCATCTATTCCTATCCAAAGGGTTTGAAAGAATCTGTTTAGGCAAAGAATCATCAGGTAGTCTTACAGCTCAGATTCATTGTTGAAAACCCTAGTTTACAATGATTTTTTGTAGACAGATGAGGATTGTTTATTTTGGAATTAAAAGGTAACTAGGTTGTTTATCACCCTGTGTAATGTTTATTCTAAATACTGTATATGGTATAAAGCAGGTCTCCTATAGTGATTCTATCCACCACATTTTTGCCCAGATTTCAATCCAGTTAGTTAACGTCTGTGAATGAAGCTAACTTACTTCAGGCTTACTGAAGTAAATTAGCTTCTGATGAAGCAGATTTTACTTTTCTATTCCTGCTATTAAAAACAGAAATTCCATTGTGAACGGTACTAAAGACTATCCTTAAAAAAATCTTATTATGTTAAAATACTAATATTATTAGATAAGTGTGATCTATAGCACATTGCTTCACATAATCACACCTTGTAAAAACACATTTGTTTTCTTATTTAAGGACCTGACCAAAAATAACATTTACAAAACAACGTTTCCGAAATTATTTACGGATATTATTTAAGATAACTATAGTATGACAAACTGTAAATGTGGGAATACAGTATTGGAAAAAAAACAGCATTCAGGGCAAATCTGAGTTTACCTGAGTTTTACTACCTGGGCATTTGTAACACAGAATGTGAAAAATGGCAAACCTTCAATGTAGCGGGATCCCATGAACTGCCTGTGCTTCTCTAAAGCTTTTTGGACATCTTCTTCATCCTCTAGCTCAATAAAGGCCTCGCCGCTTGGCCTTCCATCTCTTTTCGTGGTTAGGTGTATTCCATTGACACCATCGCGGATTCTGCATTCTGTAAAGCAGCAAAAATGATTATTTTGCCCAAAAGAGATTAAAGCCATCAATAAAAACTTAGCTATCTAACTGACTTTCAATGACACAGATACAACGCAAGAAGAGGACAGCGATGCCAGCAGCCCCACGACCATGGAAGGTCAACACAGATTAAGAGAACTGGAGCCCTTCAGCCAAAATCTAAAAAGTCTACAGAGAGATTTAATTTATCTCAGCAGACAGTGGTCTCTCCAAAAAGATGGTTTTGATTTACAGTGTAAGATAAGATGCCTATTTATTTAGATATATATATATAAATGCAATGGTAGGAAGAATTGCTGGTAGTACACAAGCATATTTCCAAAAAAGAGTCATGTAAATCTCTCTGGAGTCATCTAGCTATACAACTTTTCTTGAGCTTTTAGTGTTGCTTTTGCACACTTTCCTTCCATCTTTCTAAACAACGTGCATGTTATTATGTGAGCCTCACCAAAATGAAAATGATTCTTGACCACTTTAACTTTAACTAAGATTATGCTTTTACCTGAAAAGAACCTCTGCACATCATCAGCTGTGCAGGTCCAGGGTAGGCCTTTGGCTCGAACAATAAAGATCTCCTTTGCTTCTGCTTCTGGTTTTGCATTGTAGTCTGGCAGGGGAGGGTATTCATCTTCTTGGAAAGGAACCCCAATCTACTGTGGACATCAATCAGACATTACATCCAACAGGCATGGACATTTCCATCCATTATCTAAGCTGTTTAGCAAAAATAGATATATACATACTGTGCACTAGAGGTTCTGTTTATGTTTATTATACCACATAGATGAAACATTCAATTGTGTTCAGATGTTCAGCTTATGACCATCTGAAGATCAACTGCATTTTTTTGGTACTGGCAGCTTTTCAACCTCCTTGTAAACCACAGGCACAAAATTAGCTTTTTTTCAATTACACACATCGTTATAGCTCAAACAAATTCAATTTCTCTAACTTCCTAGGGCCTCTGG